TCTCCCAGAATTATCTTTCTGCAGGAATTTTCAGATTATCTAGGCTATTGTGTTGCTAGAAATGGAAGACTACTTTGTCTTTTAATTGTATTAACCATACAGTCACAGATTTGCTAAGCATAGTCCCAAGTATTCTCAACTAAGCCACTGATCAAAGATTGAAGGGTTGCTACAGTTTGGATATGTTTTCCCCTCCAAAGCTCATGCTGAAATTAGATTCCCAGCGAGGCAGTGTTGGGAGGTAGGTCCTGGTGGGAAGTGTTTGGGTCATGGGGGTGGGGGGCAGAATCACTTGTGGATAGATTAATGCCCTAAAAGGGGTGGGAGGGAGGGGTAAGTGAGTTCTCACTCAGTTGTTTCACATGAGAGCTGGTTGTTAAAAGAGCCTGGCACCTCCCCTCCCTCCCTCTCTTGCTTTTCTTGCTAAGTGAGCTCTGCATACGCAGGCTCCTCTTCTACTTTCTGCCTTGAGTGGAAGCATCCTGAGGCCCTTGCCAGATGCAGCTACCCTATCATGGACTCTCCAGCCTACAGAATCATAAGCCAAATAAACCTGTTTTCTTTATAAATCATCCAGTCTTGGGTATTTCATTATGACAGCACTAAACAGAGTAAGACAAGGGAACAGATAAGAGGTCTGCTTTTTCTCCCAACATGCAAAGGGAGAAAAAGACCCTTTAGTCTGCATTTTTCCAGACACTTCCAGGTAGGGCGAACTGTAGCGTTTTTAAGACGGTGGTAGATTTCACCTCGTTCTCTAGCCGTCTTTGGTGTGTACCCATTCTTGCCACTTCGGTGTGTGTCCTTTTCATTTCAGCCGGTGCTCTGTGCGTTCTTACCTGGTTTTATGAGTGCTTCCCCCTCCCAACTTAGAAGTCTAAATTGGGTCTCACTAGACTAAAATTAAGGTGTCAGCTGGGCTGGTCCCTTCTGGATACTCTAGGGGAGTACCCGTTTTCTTGCCTTTTCCAGCTTTTGGAGGCTGCCTTCTTTCTTTCTTAGCTCGTGGCCCCTTCCTCCACCTTCACAGGTAGCCGTGCCTGGTCACGTCCTCCATACATCGCACACTCTGACCCTGACTCTTCTGCCTCCTTCTTTCACATTTAAAGACCCTTGTGATTCCGTGGGCCCACCTGGATAATCCAGAGTAATCTTCTTATTTTCAGGTCAGCTGTTTAGCACTTAATTCCATCTGCAATCTTAATTCCCCCTTGCCATGTAACCCAACACATTCATAGGTTCCGGGGTGAGGGAACATTATGTTGCCTACTGCAGTTACTTTTCCCCAAACTGTTGGCCAGGACCCAGTTAAATGGCCCCAATCCAACTGCAAGAGAGGCTGAGAGTGGGATTGGTGAACACTTAACCAGTGCCTGCCTCAACCAGCAATCCTCGTGCCTGGTTTCTCCAGAACACCTCCAGGCAACAGAGCCTACTTTCTCCTGAACTTTTTGAAGTTAGCCTCCCTCCCTGCACTCAAGGTTACCCACACAGCTGCCCCCTACACTCCTCAGCTCAAAGGGGGCCCAGTCAGCTGTCCAGCAGGGTGCCCATCCTGGCCCAGTCAACACCTACTTTGTCCTTTGAGTCAAAGCTATGTCATGCAGTGGAACATGCACTGCTTTGGAAGGTGGGACGTGGCCTAGCTCTCAGTCAAACTCTGTGGCACTGTGGTTCACACCATGTCTCTGAGCTTCATCCTCACCTCTGGAAAGTGAGCTAATTGCCTTAGCACCTTCACAGTCTGCAATTCTCAGTGCAGAAAGCAGTTTCCCTTTTTATTCCTCATCTTCTTTAGAGATGCAGCTGTCAGGGGTGCAAATTCAGGAATGTGTCAGGGGCTTATTATTTTAGCACAAGCCATTACTTCCTCCTGGTGTGTACACACCTGGAAGCCCCCTCAGGACTCCACATGGTCTTGGGGAGGACAGGGTTCTCATCGGGATCCCCCCATAACTCATGTGGGTCCAGACTGTCAGTCCCAGTCTTTACACATGTTCGCTGCCTCTTGCCGTTTTAGCCTCTCCACTTTCTCTGCACAGGGTTCCTACCCTTGTTGCACGAGCTTGCACAGCCAGGAGTCTCTGCTTGCTAAGTGATTCTCTCTCCTCTCTGCTAGTAGAGCCATTTCTCTTAACTAAGACAGACTGTATTCCCTTGCCCTATTCGCATCAGGAAGTCCCTCCCACTGAATCTCACCAGTCCAATTCCATGTTTTCTTCGCTTACCTGTACTTCATTGCTCTACCTGGGATCATTAGGTTTCAGCCTAACCTACAGCACTGAATGTTTTCTGTTTTCTTTTGTTCTTCCCACGAGGACAATCCTCAGAACCTTTTGGCTCTTCTTGTAGGTGGATTAGCTTCCTTTTGAATAGTTCCATGTCAGTAGTGTTTCTCAGGCAAGACGAAGGTAGCGTACACTTTGAAGGCATGCTTCAATGTCTGCAGTCAGTGTCTTGGAAACATTCGTGTGAAGTAATAGCCCTTCCCGCCTCCGTGCTGGAAACTGCACCCTGATTCGTGGGGCGGTTGCAGTAGTGCGTGATCCTGGAAACACCCTTCTCATTCCACCTGTCCATCTCCCCACTGTGCATTTTTCCAGGCCGCTGTCAAGCGTTAGCAATAGCAAGGCACCAGGGCGCTCCCTGCTGCAGTCAGGCACCCTAACAACGAGGGAGGCTTGGGTGGGCAGTCGTTTGCCTCTTTGGTGTTTCCTTACCTGCTGCAGTGACCACAGATGGAGCTTCATCTGCTCCTTTACCTCTTGGGCAGGAAGCTGCCCTGAAGAGAGCTCTTCATTCCCCTCATATAGTGGTGTAGTAACCAGGACCTATGTATATGCCGTTATTTTGTATTGCTGAGATGCCAGCATGCTCTGTTCACTGGAAGAAGTCTAAGCAGGGAAAGGTCTACATGTAATTAAAGGTGCAGACTGCCTGGGTCCGATCCAGCTCCACTGCTTGCTAGCTGAGTGATTTGGGGGTACTGCCTTCCCCCTCTTTGTGCCTCGGGATCTGCTCTCAAGGGTTACGGTGAGGTGGGATGACGCCTGGAAGTGGTTATAGCAGTGCCTGGCACGGAGCGACCATGAGGAAGAGCAGAAGGTGGAGAATGATGTGGGATCTGTGTCTGTCTGGAAGCTTGCTCACTTAGGTGGTAATGGAATGATGACTTGAGCCCCAGGGATGGTCAGCTGACCGTGGTGGTGGTCTTTGCAGGATGCCGCTGCATCCTCAACATCTGTAGGTCAGACTGTCATCTCCATTTACTCCTGGGGAAACTGCTGTGATGAGACCTTACAGCACCAAGGATTTGAAGACTATGGAGGATCTCTCTGAGCACTAAATGGTAATTTTTGAAACCTGGTTAGTAAGACTAGCTAACAGTTGAGCACATCCCGTGTACCAGGCCCTGTTGGAGGTGTTTCATGGTGCTAACTCTTTTAATCCTCAGCTGTCCCTGGGAAGGAGGAACACTGTCACTCTTTCTTCACAGATGGAGGCCCCTGAGGCATAGAGATTCAGCAGCTTGCCCAGACATGCATGCACGCGCTCACGCACACACACACACACACACACATGCACACGCACACACACACGCACACGCAGAGCTGGGATTTGAACCCGGTTGTCTGGCTCCAGGATCCATGCCCTTCATCTCTGCACGGCACTTTTGCTAAGAGAAAGTTTGTTATTACTTTAAATTTGAAGGTCTTGTACAACCACAACAAAAACCTGACTTCTTTTTTTCTAATATCTTTCATAAAAATAATTAGATTTGCAAATAATTCTGCAAAGACTTCCTGCAAAAATAATTGTCTGTAGTTTTACAAATGAAGAGTTCTAGAGACAGCAATACAACAATCACAGTAAATGTGTTCCGTCATATCTTTTGGCAGTATTGTAAGTTAAAATGAATTTGTCTCAGCCATGAGTTACTATTATTATTGCCACTTTTTATTGCTGCATTAATCACCAGACATACTGAGAGGGATTAATGAAGTTAATTGTTTTTAGAAACTAAATTAAATGAGAGTGCTAATGCTGGCTGACTGAGGCCTGACATTATGTACTTATTCGAACAGTGGACATGCTCCACAAGAGCTTCAGGAGACTTCGCCATTTCAGATGTTGCCTTGACATTAATCATCAGTTTTCTTTGTGGTTAGTTGCACAGACTTTTTACATCTGTGAGTTATAGTTTAAAAGTTTTGTGTCTGCCAAGTTGAAATGATTTAGAGTTCTTTTTTAAATGGACAGCTATATTAGTTTGCTAGGGCTGCCACAGCAAAATACTAAAGAGTGGGCAGCTTAAACAACAGACGTTTATTTGTCATGGATCTGGAGAGTGGAAGTCCGAGGACCGGTCTGTATGTGGGATCCGAACCCTCAGGCAGGAGCGCCACCGCGCTTCCCAAGCGGCGCACTATCCAGCGCGCCACCGGGCCGGCCCCTGAATTAACATCTTTTAACAGTAGAGTTTCACAACATAGCCTGGAAAAGGCTGCTATAGAAATCTTTGCTGCCACTTGACTGGGCTCTGTGATGGCATGGTAGCTGTCCTGTGTGACCCATGGCTATATCACCCCATCAAAGGCGTCATCAGTATTTGAGAAAATATCACAGGGCAAGGTTTAAGTGAGCCCTTGTGTCAAAAATACTTGAAAACCCTAAAGCAAGGAGCCACTTTCTTCACATGGGTTATGCTCTGGTTACACTGCCACTCTTATGAAATATTTGAAAGGTGACCAAAAAAGACAGCAAGAGTCTTGGGAAGTTTCTAAGTGGATCTGGAGGAAGAGATAGTGTTCAGTTCTGTATCATGTTGAATCTCCCCCAAACAACACTACCCTTCCCTCGTTACTAATTGTCACTGCCAGATTTTCCAGACTGACTTGTGGCCGTGGCCACTGGACAACAAAACTTTCCAGCTATTCCCTCCTGACCTGCAGGCGGTTTCATTTCCACACTGATCACACCCCTCTTTGATTTCATTTCAGTGAAAGCTGGTGGCATGCGAATTGTGCAGAAACACCCACATGCGGGAGACACCAGAGAAGAGAAAGACAAGGATGACCAAGAATGGGAAAGCCCCAGGTGGGAGAATTCTGGTGACTCTTGAGCGGGTTTCACAAAGACCCATTAAGTTAAACATTAACGTTTGTTCTCTGTTCTATGCTTCTGATAACTCCTGGGCTATGATAAGCCCTGTTTTGTGTATTTTTCTCTTCCCAGTCAGTGAGGCAAGGGGTTTGTTCCCAGACAAGGTAGAAATAGCGCATCTAGAGCACATCCTCTTTCCTGACTAAAGCCCACCAGCCCACCCTGCTCCCACCTAGCTGCCAGGCCCGTGCTCCGGTTTGTCTTCGTGTGCAGTGTGGGGGAATTATATCAGGTTGGCAGGTAGACGCCTACCTCCACCTGCTGCAAGTGCCTGTAGTTTAGCCAGGGCTGCTCCCTTACTACCCAGGAGGCTGTGCAGAAGAGGAGCACATCGGCACAGCCTGTAGCAGCTTCTTTTGGTCCCTTGGTTCTCTGGTGGCACACACAGCCACCATTGATTAACCCTTTCCCCACAGGCTGGACCACCAGAGTGGAGGAAATAGGCGAATTCTTGCCCCTGCAGGTCTTCTGCACTCCAGGTTTCCACTGTCATTCCAGAGAAGCACGTGCCAACAGTCTGGGGGCAGTAGTTCTCAACTTGGACTGCAGTACGGAATCACCTGGAGGCCTTTGAGAACAGCCATGCTAGTTACATCTCAAGGGTGGGCTGGCCATCTGTGCAGCCAGGGTAGAGAACTTCTGATTTAAGAAATGTGTGCAAGCATCTGGGCTCCCCCCTGTTCTTCAACCAGATCTGGAATCAGCGAGGCCATACCCTGTGATTAACCTGCAGACTTAAATGACATCCCTGCTCTCCCTACGTCCTCCCCTCTCTATTCAACACCAATTTTATTTGGAGTTTCTGATTTTGAGTTTGGTTCCAGGACCTCGATACAAATCCATTTCCTTCAACCTTGTCATATACAGCCACCACAAATGCACGTACCTTTCTATGAATATGTTCCCATAGAAGAAAGTGAACGCTAAGCTTTCTACTTACAACTTGTCTCCAGATGATGTCTCAGCCCGAGGAGGAAAGAAAGTATGGAAAGGGAAAGGGGGCATGGAAAACAGCTAACCTCTATTTCTGTGGACCAGGCTCATGGTTTTAATTTCATCTCCTTCCAGCAGTCCTGAGAAGTAGCTGGTATTCTCCCTGATTCACACATGAGCGAACAGAACCCTACAGAAGATGTAAACTTGCCCATACCATGCACCTTGCTAGTTAATGGAGCAGGAATTTAAACCAGGCCTTATGGGGTCCAGAGCAGGCCGTGCTCCCAAAAGAGTAGCTCCCAGGAGCATGTGCCACCGTGAGAAGGGCAAGCATGGCCTTGGTAACCCCACATGTCTGCTCGTTCGTATCTCCCACCACTGGGTGTTTTCTGCAAAACCTCGTACAGTTTGAGAGACGGTGCAGCCACGTGAGGGGAGGACAACATTTTTGGTGACATTTCTGAGTGATTATTGACCATTTTAAACCATGAGATCAGCAATGTGAAGGTTCAGTACAAGTTACGGTTTTAAAAGAAGAGGATGGTTTAAGGAAAATTCTAGAATTATCTTTCTCACTAGCTGTTTTCACAAAGCTGTGTTTGGAACACAGCAGCATCAGTAACTCTCCTACTGGTCCACACTTCTTTATTCAAAAGGCTTGGTGCTCATATTTATTTCAAAATTCAGAAATTTGGGGGTTTTAGGAAGATAATACAGATGTTAGGAGAATAAAACTGCACATACCATATAGTGCCTCTAGTGGGGTCTCAGGCAGTGTATTGCAATCTGCGTGATGTTCAGACCAAGTGAGAGAAATTTTTTAAATGGAAGGACTTATGTCAGTTCAGATTAACTTTTGCCTTTATATGAGTTGTAAGGAAACTGTTGGTTTTCAGAGCATTCTTAAATTCAGAATTGAGGCTAAGAGCCCACGGGCCTGTAGTGATTTCCTTCTAGGAAACCTGGGCTGTCATCGCCCTTCTTAACACCCAGCTGTTTCTTTAAGAAGCAAGAAAGAGGAGGAGAGAGAAAGCCTTCCCTGGGAAAGAAAATCCTGGAAAGTTAATGAGACGCATGCTTTTCTGTGTGAATTGAAATGGGATAAGCCATTTCCCTGCCTAATGTGGTGCCAATACAATGAGAGATGATAATTTATTAGCGTGTTTAGAAATAAGGACAGAACAGCCCACTGTTTTTTTTTCTATTGATTTTTTTTTTATGAGATAAAATACAGCGTTTATAGAAGATGAGCGATTTAAATAAATATGCCAGAGGACAAACAGTTACAGGAGAAGAGATCTCACACCACAGCACTTTAGATTTTAGCATTTTGTTCACCTTAAAGATTTGTTCTCTGTCTCTGTAGAACCAAATATTTTGAAGCAGCCGCCCCAGGGTAGGGTTTGCACAACACATGAGCCAGTTGTTTTTGTTGCTGTTTCCTGCAGCCAGCTCGCTGCAGTGTGTTCCTTACGGGTGTGTTAGCGCTTGTCTTTGCCTTGGGCTTGACCCTTTACCGCTGGGGGTTAAACCACTTGACACAGCATTTACAGAGTGGGTGAGCCTGTGTACACTCTTCAGTTATTGATGTATGTTGCCCACACAGCTCCCTCTAAAGCCTGCGTCAGGCCTGGTCCTCTGTGCAGTAGTTTATGTCCACCACCACGCACTCTCCATTCTTCTGGTGGGCTGATGGATACTCATAGTTAATAACAATCCTCAGTAATTCTTGTAGAGGTCAATGGGCCTGGCCCTCTTGTGAGTGCTCTGTCCATGGTAATTCCTTTGATCCTCACAACTACTTTACTTGTTAGATCCCTATTTCAGAGTTGGTTATTGATTATTGTCCCCATTCCAGATTACAACTCCTTCTTCAGTGGCTCAGAGTTAAGTGACTTTTCCAAAGTCACACAGTGAGTAAGTGGCAGAGCCGACTTTCCAGCGCTGGCAGCTGGTCCCAGATTCCTCATTCTTAGCCACCAGGCCCTGCTTACCAGTCGAGCTCCTAGTTTCTCCTGCGCACTTATGAAGTGATTCACATCAGATTTAGTGCCCACACCACCTGTAAGGTGGTGTCACTGTGCCCATTACATAGATGAAGAAAGCAAGGCTTAGGGAGGTTGTACAGCCTGATGACATGTAGCCAGTCAGTGGCCCAGCCAGGATTTACCCTTGAGTCTGTCTTGACTTGGAAGCTCATGCCCCTAATATGTTATAGAAGCTCCTGGACCAACATGGACTACAATTCAGATCCCTCTGTAAATAAGACTTACTGATTCTGGGGTTGTCCATGACCTTGTGCGTACTCCTCAAGCCTATAGTGCTATCCATCTGCAGCCTCCCCCCAAGTAGGTGGGCTAATCTGTAGTTTACAAGGTTTTAGGGGACTCTGCCAGTTTTACTTCACTTATGGAAAGGCCCATTTATTTGCAGAATTTATAAAACATTTAATTATCCTCTTAGAAATGTCTTTTGGCACATGACTTCACTATCCATGGTACCTGAATCCTAAAGTTTTGTATTTTTTTTTATGTTTTGATCAGTTGTTCTTCAGATATGAAAGATCTGTTCTTCAGATCTGCCTTGTGTCAGATCACAGATTTTTCCTTAGCTATAATTCTGCATTTGCAGAACTCTGTGTTTTCCTTCCTTGATTTTTAAGACTGGTTTTAAGTTTACTGACTCATCTCTGGTGGCTCCCTTCCCCATTAAATGGAAAATCAAGTACCAATTAATAAACAACTGGAGCATTAAAAAGGTTATTATATGCCAAAATAAATAAATAAGAACCCACAACTTTTACTAGTAATTATTTTTCTGGCAAATGTTTAGACAACTCTTACTCCCTTTAATCTTGTAATTTTCCAGAGATTAAAAATAATTTCTTATGCTGCCAAGTTGTTTTCAGATGCTGTGTTTAAAAAAAAAAAAAAAAAAAGAACATAGCAGAAATGTGAATATCTTGCCCAAGAATTTCCATCAAGCTGAGTTCTGGTTACCTGTGACTCTTCATATCCAAGAAGAGTAATGGGCTTCATAATTAGCTAATACTTTCCTAAGTGGCTGCTAGATTTCATCTCAGAACCACCCCAATTAAGGAAAGCAGTGATTTTCCTCAAAGCCTTTTGTTTAGTGCAGTAAGATAAAGTGCCCAGCTTCATTATGTAAAGGGAAAATTGCAGACATAGAATGGACTTCAGGAGTCAGGATTTACTAAAGAAAACAGTTTAATGTGGACCATTTATGGAGGTGCTATCATGATTTTAAAATGGAATGGGTAACAGGAAGGGTACACTGGAAACTAATGGGTTCACTTGCCATCAAAAGGCAGGTGGCGAAAGGGGCAAATGAGGAGGAAGTGGCACTGGGTGGGGAGGGTGAGCAGGGAGCGGCCGTCCTCTGAGCTTGGCTTTTTGTTCTTAGAACCCTGGAGCTATTTCACGTCCTGAAAAATAAGCCAACAGCTTAAATCAACCAGGGTGTGGGAGGGACCCAAAATGACACCCAAACACAGACAGATGAGCCCAGTTGTGATACAGTTGATACTATAGCCACACTGAAGAGAGCAGGGAATTACTGAGGTAACTTTGGAAATCAGCATTTTGACTGGATATTATAAGGTGAAAGAAGAACTGTGCATGAATGCTGTCCTCCAGTTAGTAAATAGGTTTCCTGCGGGGAGATGGGTTAACAGTTCCAAAATTGCCTTGTGTGTATGCCAGGATTGAGCAAATAAGTAAATGGATTATGGATCATGAGATAGAGCTTACAGGTAGGGAGAAGACTGAAGTCAACTTTGGGCTATGGGAGGGGAATTGGAGGTGTCTGTATGAACTCATGTTTTAGATGGATGGATGGAGAGACAGTAGATACAAACATACATATATGTAGATACAGAAATGCATATGGATGAGGGGTTAGCATACATACCTATATTTCCTAGTTATGTTCACCAAGAACTGGCACCCGTGTAGCCATGAGCATCCCCAGGACCCAGA